ATAATCCAGACCTCAAAGCTAAAAACATTCTGCGCATGCGTTCACGCATGCGCATATGCTTTTACGCATGTGCATAATACGTTTACTCATGCGCGTTTAATATATAACGGACGGTATAAGCTAGGCTAAAATTATCTAATTATATATTTCAGTTAATGTTGCAGATTTCATTGTTCCTTCATCTTCTAATTGGATCCGGCTTATTATTTTTTGCAGACTGTTAAAGCAATTTTAAGCTTGAATTTTCGATTATGTCAAAAAGAGTTTCCGATTCTGGAGCTGCCATAGGGTCTACAAAGCGAAAGCATGTTTCGATGTCCATCAAACAAAAAGTGGAATTGCTGCAAAAAATGGATAAAAGCATGTAGAAAATGACAGAGAGGTTAGTGAAAACGAAAAAAATTCGATTGGCAAGTTAGTCGGTATTCTCGGCACAGCAATTACAGGACTTGAATAGCGGAACTTTGTAACTGAACAAGAAATCATGTTTGTTTATAGAATTAAAGAGAAAGTATTAGCAGATAAAACGAAGCAACTTAAACAACTTACACTGAAAAAATGTTTAATAAAGTAAACAAATAAATATAAAGCTTTTTTTTTTTGTAAATTTTGATAGCCTTTAGATCATAATTGCTCTTTATTTCATAAATTACGGTTTCATATTTTTAATTTTATAATTTCTGCATGCCATCTTACTAGATTTAAATTGATGATCTATAATCCGGAAAAACCCCTAATCCGGAATCGCCGAAGTCCCGACGAGTCCAGATTAAAGATTTTGTACTGTATATGTTTTATTATTTAATTCGGACCGCACAAGGAAAAAACAACTGGTTATGATGAAATAGCAAATTGATCTCTCAAGACTATCAAGAAAACCTCTTGCATTCATGGATAAAATTTTAATGCAAGTGACAAAAAAAATATTAATCAATTATTAACAGGAAAATCTACACAATAACAGAAGAGGAAAATTCCAGAAAATTAAATAACAGAAAATAAAGCAAAGACAGCATTTATTGGTTGAAACATATAAGTCTTGTGTTTTTTAATGGAATAGGTCAAAAAAATTTTATCTCAACAAAAGAGAAAACATTCTTTTGCTTTGAACAATTATAAGAATTTGGTACTTATTCTTTAATTTCCTTCGATTAATTATAAAACTGCTGCTATTTTATATAAGTTCACTTTCATGTCACTTTTCTCCTACCAACAAAAACTTAGCATGATACTTAAAGACCTCATTCCGGATACAAACTCCCGGGACAAACACAGCATTCCTTATCAGTGTGGCTTAATTAACATGGCTTGAACAAAGAGAGCCTTATATTTTGCATTAAAGAACACAAGACATAAGTTTGAGGGAGGGGAACTTATAAATCCTCCATTGCTCATCATTACTGGTCAAAAAATTACATTTTCGATTTCTCTCCAGTCAAAATTTCCATTCAAATTATTAGTCACAGATTTCTTCAAGGTTTTCATGTCCATAAAAACTTTTCGGTTCTTATTAATGACCCAAATTCAATCTGCCTTTATTATCAGATTTTCAGTTTATTTATTACTGTCTTTCACTCATATTTTGATCAATAAATGTTAACTTGAATTTATTTTCGATCATTTAGACGAAAATTTTTCAAACTTTTTCTCTGTTGTTCTCACATAAACATGTGTTTCTCTGTCACTATTTTCACGCCCCCCCCAATAGCTGAAGAGGTAGGTTCTACTGAATTTTCGTAATTATTTTCCTAAAAAATTACTGGTTTAAGTGAATTCATTTGCAGTTGGGTACCTGTGTCAAGCCTTCACCAAATCTAACAAGACAGTGAAGTATGTTCATTGTAATATATATATGGGTCAGGTTAAAAATTTAGAATAACATGATCACATGAATTGAAGTAGAAAATTATTTATTTACAAACCAAAAATAAATCAAAAGGGGAAGAGCTGAAAGGTACTGGTTGAGAAGAAAAATAAGTACACTTGCTGATCAAAATATGCAAAACTAATTTGTGAGCAAAATTTAGTAAACTCTTGAGGGGGCGATTTTCAGAATCACACATGATTTTGAAGAGAGAATCAAAAGTGAAATAAAATAAAATCAAGTTAAACTAATGGGAGAGGGAGAACTGAGTTTACATCAAACTAAATATGAAATTAGCTTTCCAACTGCAAAGAAGTTAAGGAAATAACTATGAACTGATAAATCAGTAACATAAACAATTCTCAGAAGTACCCAAGTATTTGTCACACTCTACACTGCTTTATTTCATTGAACAATGTTAGAATTTGTTTTCACCATTGACTCTTGGCATTGCTAGCTCTTTTTGGAAGATTAAGACATTAAATCATTGAATTAGAATTTCACAATGTAATTATAAGACTAGTTTCTTTTTTTTTATCAGTATTATAGAGAATTCTTCGCAGAAGAAACTTATGCTTTATAATCCTGATAAAATATTCAGCATCTAGTTCTGGAGTCATTCTTCTTCTTTTGTATCATTTTTATAAATGTTCTGTTGACTCTGCCTAAGAATTTAACAGTGGTTGAGTTAAAATTTTAGAAAATCAGAATAAATACCATTATCTGAAGATTTAAGTACAATCAGTAGGACAGAATTTGACTTAGAATTGTTCTGTTGCAATTGTATGTACTGATCCTGATTCTGAGAAGCATTATTTCTATCAAATATAATAAATCTATTTTTTGACTCGTAGATTAAATTTTTTTTAAAGACATTCTTGTTGGTAGATTTAACAAATTTAGACTCATTGTTAAGTTACTACACATATCAGATTTATGTTTAGTATTAGTATTGGCATAAACTCTACAACTGCCTGTAAAACAAGTTCTGTACATACCTTCAAAAGCTAATCAATTTCCACCTAAATGATTTCCATTTTGTTCTTGATGGCAGTTGTAGTGAAAGCCTGAGTATCTCATGGATGCTTTTCATCAAATATAAGAATTAAGGAGACATAGCATGCACATTTCTTTTATTACTAGATCAATGATTTTTCACATGACCAGCATCTAAGTTAGTGAATTAGTGAATTATCTGTGGATGTAATTGTTGGAATATCAAGAATGTTCATACTATTCACTTTTAAATAATATGAATCACTGGTATCCATGGTGAACTCCATAAACACCCATTGTCACCCAATCGTAACCACCTACAGCCTAACATATGGGCAAAATTATAATGCAGGCAGCTACTGCTGAATCCTCCCTGCAAATTTGTTCAAATTAAAATGTTGCTTATTATTAGTTCCTTTTGAAACTGTTACTATTTAATTTAATCAATCAAATTAGAAATATTGAGTAACAAATCCTTGGCAGTGAAGATTAATGATTGCCTTTGACATCACATTGAATATGCGTGATGCATAAAAGTCTCCCATAAATTTTGAGAAATTAGTATATTTGAAACAAAAGTGCATCTCATTCTGTCATTTGCAAAGGCAATTGCAAGATTGCTTATGAGTTTAATTTAGAGGAGAATGACAGTACATTTTGAAAAAAGAATCTTAGAATAGAAATATGATAATTTGAAACTTAAAACAAAGTGATAAAAGGACAAAGTAAAGGGATTGTATGACGTAATCATAAAAGCTGCATCTAGTCACTGAAATTTTGTTGAACTAGAATAATAATGAAAGAAATATTTTTCTACTATAAATGCAAAAGCTGAATTACATAAATCCAAGATATGGAGGCTGACTGCAACTAATAAGTTTTTCATAAAAATAGACAATGCAAAAAAAAAAAAAAAAAAAAAAAAAAAAGAAAGAAAGAAAGAAAGGGATAGAAGTAGATGGTTACTAAAATGTGCATGGTGATTTTTATAGTCATATGAAACCCGATTTGTTTATTCGGTACTATTCGCTTTCGAGGGCTGTAAAAAAATTGCAGCGAAAATGTATCCGCAAAAACGCCAAATCTAGCAAACACGCCCATTTAAAAGTGTGCCAAATCTCGCGTATGGGCTGATTTCAGATTGCGTAAGTTTATATAGTTCTATATTTCTTAAGACGCCATTGAAATACTAGTTTAATTTTTAATTCCTTTTTTTGATATCCTATGGATTTAACAATTTGGGAATTGCCTATGATGAAAAGTCTGCGATAGAATTTTGGGTAAAGTGCAGAATCACCCACTGCTTGACGCGTTTTTAAGAATTGCACATACTCGGTATCCATGTACACATCGACTTATTTTCACTTAAAAAAAAAATCCCAGAATTGCACAAAAATGGCACCGCGCACACCCTTGACTTTATCTATGTACACATCGACCTATTGTCACTTAAAAAGTAAAAGAAAATTGACAAAATTCCAATTGTTTTTACCCTTGTAAAAAGCGGCAAAGAAATAAGCGGGCGATTCTGCACTTTACCGAAAATGTTTTCAAAGAAAAGGCATCATTCATTATAGAAAATTATGTTTGAACAACCAACGAGATGACATTATGCTTTAGCGATAACTCGGTAGCGAAATATTATATGAAATTAACCTTTCATCTAAATTAAAACATCAATATTTAAATAGTTATTTACTATTATACTTCCTTTCTTGCGTTAGGGTTGCCGCAATTACTTTTGGCAGCACTGGCATCAACAATAGTTTGGCAATTTTTTACGGCCCTTGAAACCGAATAGTACCGTTTATTCCTATTACACAATTATTAGTGTAGTATGAACATATTATGAGATATGTATATTAAGTATTAATACCTATTATTTATTAATAATGAACTATTTCAGTTCTTAACAACTTTTAATGATATATCCAATTAAAGCAGTAAATCCTCCCTAAGATGACCGTCAGTTACGTACAATTTTCATCTTTTTTGAAGAAATCTGCCTTACAGAGGAGGTATTATATAAGCAATATTTATTTCTTCAAAGAAATAATCACCTCTTTCACAGGTCATCTATTACAAGTGATTGTCATAAATTATTATTATATATACACAGTATATGAAATACAAACTTAAATTATAAAATATGAATATATTTATTTTTTTCTTACATTAATTAACATAAATACATCAAATATTTGAATCACAGTGATTTATTTTTCTTGTTCATCAGATTTTAATGCTTGTGTTTCATGCAGAGTCATGCTTCGTAGCCTTTTTAATTCTTCAACCCATTTTATAACAGCTGGATTTCTAAAGGTACCTAAATTCAAAGGTTAATATATTTTTAAAACAACTACATTTAATGTTGCAAAAAAAAAAAAAAAAAAAAAAAAACAACTTCAGAAATCTTTAAATATTTAAACATCAATATTGTACCATATTTCTTTCACAAAAGATATAAAAAAAGTTTTAAAAATATAGTAGTAAAAACCAGTTGCCACATTATAGAAAACTGTAGCTTTACAACATTTTGGAAAATTAAAATCATACATATAACATTTTTTCTTCACATGTCACACACATATTCAAACACAAAACAAAAAATACATATATCAGGGTTCTGGATTAAGAATCTTTAGGATGAAGTTTCCAATAGACACACCCACCCATACATAGTACACATACCGAATTTTTAAAACACAAAATTTTTAACTGACGTTAAAAATAGCAGTCCTATATGCAAAAATTTGGACAAAAGAGGAAAAATTATGATAACATGTATTTTTAATTCATTTTACTTTAAATCTATGAAAAACATTTCTTAAAGAAAATGATATTTTGGCATGCAAGTGAAACATATTTATATACAGTGGATGGACAAAAATATGGAAACACCTTGTGAAATGCATGTTTGAAAAGAAAGATTGATTTTAATGAAATATGTAGGTGGCGCTGGCGTTTTTGACTACTGACGCCACCTATACAACTTCGTAAATGTGCTAAACAGTTCAGTTGTTGTCGTAGTACTGTTATGTGAGGTTGTCATTGCATTATGTCAGAGTTAACAGACTTCGAACGTGGGCAAATTGTTGGAGCACATATGGTAGGTGCTTCCATAAGCAAGGTAGCCGAGGTGTTTAGTGTTTCAAGAGGTACTGTATCGAAGATTTATTCCGAATATTTGAAAAGCGGAAAAACATCATCTGCTAAATCACAGTGCGGACGAAAGTGTGTCCTGAGTGATCGTGACAGATGATCATTAAGGGCAATTGTGATGAAAAATAAGAAGACCACAGCTGCAAAAGTTACTGCTGAAATGAATGTTGTGTTGCCGAACCCTGTGAGTACCAAAACAATTAGAAGGGAGCTTCATAAACAGGGAATTGCTGGCCGTGCTGCAATTGAGAAGCCACTCATCAGTGATGCTAATGCCCGTAACAGGAAAAAGTAGTGTTTAAGTCATAAAGCCTGGATTATAGAGCAGTGGAAGCGAGTAATATGGTGTGACGAGTCTTCTTTCACATTGTTTCACACTTCTGGTCGAGTTTACGTCTGGAGAACGCCATCTCAAGCCTATAATACAGACTGCTTGTTGCCAAGAGTGAAACATGGCAGGGGTTCTATTATGGTTTGGGCAGCCATATCATGGTTCTCTGTTAGCCCCATGATAACTGTATCAGGGCACATGACTGCCAAGACTTCTGTGAACATTTTGGCCGATCAAGTTCATCCCATGGTGCAAACTTTTCCCCGATGGTGATGGTGTCTTCCAAGATGACAAAGCCCCTGTTCACACAGCTCACATTGTCCAAGACTGGTTTTCTGATCACGAGGATGACTTGTCCCATATCCCCTGGCCACCACAGTCACCAGACCTGAATATTATGGAACCTTTGTGGTCTACATTGGAACGGAAAGTGCGTTCTCGTTATGAACTGCCAACATCATTATCTGAACTTGCCACCGTTTTGCAGGAAGAATGGTATAATATTCCTTTGGCAAACATACAGGAACTGTATTTATCCATTCCGAGAAGACTGCAAGCTGTTTTGGATGACAACAGGTTTCCTACACCATATTAAGCAAAGAAACATGTTTTTTTAAAGGTGTTTCCATATTTTTGTCCAACCCCTGTAGCTACAATTTATATAGCTTTATTTTTGACAATAAAGTTACAGAAGTAAGAAAATCCTCAATGGTTACAACTGGAAAGCATCTGAATTGGGAATAGAAAATACATGCATTCCTCTCTTTATATATATCAGGGTTGGCCAAACTTCATGTCAGTAAGAGCCGCATGTTTGAATTCAGGAATATTCAAGAGCTGCATCTAGATTTTCTAAAAGCCACAAGTTCATATTTACATCATTATAGAAGTAGTGGAGGAGGTTTTAAATAGAAAGAAATCACTGATAACTTTGTAGAATGAGTCTAAACTAATTAATAACTTCTTTTTGGACACTGAATAGTTTTAATTTACCATATTTCATACATATATTTTATATGCACAAGCCGCACAAATTGCCTGTGAGAGCCATATCAGGCTCGTGAGCCACACTTTGGCCACCTCTGATATATATTATGCATTAAATATTATATTATATGACAGTGTTTATATGTATAAATGGTGATTTTTATATTTTTTCATGCATGAAATAATTTTAACTGCAGTTATACAGATAATCATACTGATTTCAATTGTACTGACTTTTCTTATTTCTGTTACATTAACTTTTCATTTATCATAAAAATAAAGCATATTAACGTTTTTTATTGTCAAAAGTAAAGCATATGTGCATTTTATATATAGACATATTTCATATCACATGCTAAAATATTCATTTTCTCATTATTCTAAGATTTAAAAAGAAGTTTATGATTTTAAAGTAAAATGACTTAAAAATATACATAATCATAATTCCTCCCCTTGGTAAAGCTGAAAGAATGTGAGCAATCAAGATATATTCAGCATGCACAACATGTGGCATTATTTCTTTACATAACTATTATTCTCTTATATTTCATACTGTTTGTTATTTCCTTTATTTTATTTAGGGAAACTACGTTGAAATAAATATATTCAAAGACTCAAGTTTGAGGGAATGAGAAATAACAGATAATAAAAAAATAAAATTAAAATATCATAAAAGAATACAGTCAAAAGTCATTAATTCGGACACCCATAATCCGGAATGATCTATAATCCGGACCTCAAGCTACAACTTTCTGCGCATGCGTCGCTTTGACGAATGCGCGTTTAATGATTTTATGAATGCGCGTTTAATGTATAACGGACGGGATAAGCTAAGCTAAAATTATCTAATTATCTATTTCAGTTAATGTTGCAGATTGCGTTGTTCCTTAATCTTCGAATTGGATCCGGATTATTATTTTTTGCAGACTGTTAGAGCAATTTTATAAAAGTAAGCTTGAACTTTCGATTATGTCAAATAGAATTTCCGATATATATTTACTAATATGTAAAGGATATACAAAGCGAAAGTATCTTTCGGAGTCCATTAAACAAAAAGTGGAATTGCTGCAAAAAATGGATAAAGGCATATCCTTTGTTTATCTAAACTTTAACGTTTGTTTATCTAAACATTGTTTATCTTTAACACTGCGGCAGGGCAGCCAGCGTGCAATGAATTGGAAGTTGATCTGTCAGCACTATCCTTATCTTAAGGGCAGATGTTTTTATTTTATTTGGCTTATAATTGCTTACTCAATGTAGTATTTCATCTTGATGTACTATGTACTCCGTCTTTGATATGATTTAAATCAAATGCCTCGTAATTATAATTCGCTTCCGATAGCGAAGAAAGTGACAGAGGTTATTGAAAACGAAAAAATTTCGATTGACAAATTAGTCGGTATTCTCGACACAGCAATTATAGGACTTGAACAGCGGAACTTTGTAACTGAACATGAAATTATGTCTGTTTATAGAATTAAAAAAAATGTATTATCACATAAAAAACGAAGCAACAACTACATTGAAAGAAACAAACTTACATTGAAACTTACAACTTACATTGAAAGAAATGTTTAATAAAGTAAACAAATAACTATTAAGCTTTTTTTTGTAAATTTTGATACCCTTTAGATCATAATTGTTCTTTATTTCGTAAATTATGGTTTCATATTTTTAATTTTATAATTTCTGCATGCCATTTTACCAGATTTAAATTGATGATCTATAATCCAGAAAAATCGATAATCCAGAATCGCCGAAGTCCCGACGAGTCCGGATTAACGACTTTTGACTGTAGTAGTTCTACATTAAAATGAGAAAACTGCTGACTTTTAAAGAAATATTATTCTATTGTTTATCAGAACTGAAAGAAAACTCTGGCAACAGCACAATAAAAGGGAATTCCTGAAGTGATTAAAGACAAATGCATTATTTAGGCCACATGATTAAAAATCAAATAAAAAATACTTTGATTCATTATCAAAAAGGAGAATTAAATAAAATATAAGTAAATGTAATTAATTTTTTTAAGTTAAAAATATTTCACTAAAATTTATTAATGTTGTTAATTATCAAATATTTATGTGTCCTTTCACTTGCTTGCATGTTAAAAGTAATTACGGTAAAAACATAAAAGCAACATTTATTAGAAAAATAAATTTTTAAGAAACATAGATGAGTATCAAAGTTAAAATGAACAGGTGTAAAGTCACTGTAAAAAGGGGTTTACACTAAAATTAAAAACAGATGCAAGAATTTTACTTGAAGGTTAGCATCGTCATAACTATTGTATTATTATTTTCATTCCAATTAAATTTTATCTAAAATGAAACTAATCCAATTAAGAAGAAATGCCCATTTTTAATTAATGCAATTAACAATAAATGCCCATCAGTACTTTAAATACAGACTCTTGTCTTTTCTACCAGGTCAATCACATAAAATTCCCATGATAATATTTTAAAGTAACAATTATAGATGTTTATATACTTTTTTTAACTGGTGTATAATTTATAAAAGTAAATATATGACATAAAGAATAGTATACCAGTTTGAAAGTTAAGAATTAGCAAAATCCTATTTTTCACTGGCTTTAACATTTTTGAAAAATGAATAAAAAATACTCGCAGAGAATGTTTATTTGCTTGAAAGTCACCAGCTATCAAGTCATTATGTAATAAAATTATTATTGCATTTTATTATGCAATCAGATTATTACTGAATATGTTTCTTCCATTCCAACAAACCCCAATATTAACAATAGGGGGAAAATTTTCACATTTACTAAAAAGTTGTTATAAAATGTAATAAATCTGATCGACTGGAACATTCACAAATAAATATCATGAAATTATTTTACCTTCAGTATTGTCAAAAAATCCTTGTAGACTAAGAGATTCTGTCGATTCTTTCTCATACTCATAAGCTTGTAGAATCATATCAAATTTATCTAAGTCTTTAACTGCCTTTGCCTCAGCTGTAGTTTGATTTTCATATTCCTATATAAAAATGAAGAGTTTAATATTTTAAGATACTTAAGAAAATAATATAAACTTCAATGAGGCCGACTTTTAAAAAATACTTAAAGTAATAGAAGAGATAAAGAAAAGCATGATTTTCAAATTCTCCCATGTAAATATCAAATTTTTAAACAATAATTAAGCTGAATCAGTCTCAATGAATCTTTTAAAATGGTAATATTTTATTTGGTACATTAATTAATCCTTCATATGGAGTGAGATAAAATAGTCTCATATGAAACTGAATAAGAATTAATAGATGGCGGAAATATCAAATGAGAAATGAAAATTCTTGCTCAAAATTAAAATCAAACATTCAGAATTCTCTCTAAATTCAGTCAAAAGTATTGTACATACAGAACTGCTCTTTGGAATATATGTAAACCTCATTTGTAAGCTTTTGGGTATCATTTAGTGCGATGGGACTATACTTGCATGACTAATGGTGAAATCCTAGTGGTCTGCTCAATTATACCTGTACCTGGTTGGAAGTACAGGATGGATTACCCACTCTACAGCCACAGTCTCAGTCTGGACCTCTCATTTAGTGATTTTCATCTCTTTGGACCTCAAACAAACTGGGTGGTAAGCAACTAATAATAAATACAGACATTTAAACAAAACATCAAGAAATGACAAAAGGACGATATGCTAATTTCTTCTGCTCTCATCAATGCTTTGATGTATCACCAGTACAAAATGTTTGGACAAGCACGGTGGAAATCTAGTACAACAATGTTTACCAGTGTCTTACTACCTTATTTTTTGGACTGTCTTTATAATTTATAAAGTAACATAACAGAACTTTATAATTTATAAGGCATATATTGTAATAAGAATACATTTATAACATAATAGATATAAACATTTGGTACGTATTTTGTTGTAGCAGCCCCCAACCATATTTGGTGATTTTAGATTTGCACCAAGATCTCAGCCATAATTTTGCTAAGCTCATAATGCAAGAATGTAAAAATAAACAGCACAATAAAAATTAATAAAAATAATACTCGCATGTTTTTTCCTAAGAATATTTTAAAGAATTCTTATCCTTATTATTATTAATATTTTATCGCATATAATTGTGCCAGTCAACTGCAGCATTTTCACATATATTCATTTGTTTGTTACATTACTTCATGTATGAGAACTTCTCTGCCCAAGAATACATAAATCTAATAGCAGTGATGAATGATATTCGGGAATCGCTGAACCAATTTCCGACAAGAAGGCCATTCTTCTTTTCACATTTTTTAACTCTAGACTTCCAAATGGTTTCATCGTTCACATACTTGTTTGTCAGGCAAAAGACCTCTTTCTTGAAAAAATGATATAGCATCCACCTCATTACTTGGTAAATTAAAGATTTTTAATATCATATTTCCACACACACACAAAAAAAAGCATTGACTATATTTTTATGTAAACAATGCAAATTCAAAAACCTCTTCAAAAATGAATAATACAAGAACATGCAGTGAGAGCAAAAATACAAGACGGTTCTAATATATGATTATGTGTGGAGGTATAAGAACATCCAGCTAGTGCTAATATATGATCATGCGGACAAGTATATAAAGACACAGATTTTGGCGAGATATCTTAGCTGATTGGTGATTCAATCTCGGGAGCCACTACAACAAAGAAGTTTAAAATATTTTTACCTCCCACCAACCTACATTTACATCTATATCGGTAGGGGAGGTAATGTTTTTGATCCAAAAATTTAATAATGAGTTTTGAGTGAATAAGCACAAATTAAGTTTGCCACTACATATTTTTACTACTTTTATAATAAGGTTTCTAAGTGTGATGAAATGTGAATTTAAGTGTGATGAATCTTCGTCCATAATAAATGTTATATCAAATTAACAAAAATTTCTATCTTTCATATTTAAGTTTCCATTCAAATCATTTCAGTTTTAATATTTAAGACTATCAATGGGAATAACATATTAGACTTTAGCTAAAATTCATAAACAAAATGCGATACTTTACTTGAGGCTATGAAAAGATTTTCATGATAAAATATAGTGTTACGGATTTGGTATTTAAATAGCTAATGTTAGTTGAATTATAAATTAAATTGTTTTATTTCCCCGTGCAGTGCAGCGTGTGACGTATATTAAAGGAAAGCTAAGTTGGAAAATTAAAAATACAAGAGCCCATGCATTTAACATTTAATATATAAATATCTCTTTTTGATTTCGAGGAAATGCTAGAAAATTCTCGCGCATTTAAAAAGCTTATATAAGCGGCATGAAAACCTCTCAATTCGTAGTTGTTAGTCAGTTTGTTGTTGTTTTAAGAGTTTGTTTAGAAAACTGCTCTTGTTGATTGTAGCGAATTCGCGGATTAGCTTTCCATAGCTGTTTTGAATTAGTTTGAGTGGTTAAAAGATAACTGCTGCGAGATATTGTAATACTGGACAAATATCTGAGGAAATTCAAGCATTTTTGTTTGTGATAATAATAAATTTTGTTCATTTTTCATCGGAATTGTGCATTCATTTCATAATAAACCCATACGCATGCAACAATTTTGTGATATAATCCAAAATTTTCAGATTTGGTATTTAAAACTAATATATGCATATACAATCATGAGAGAACAGCATATTAAATTTTGACAATAGTATATGAAAAACCGGAACTGGTACTTTACTTGGAACTCTGAACACATTTTCATGGAAAAATAAAGAATCACAATAATAAGAGTTTAATCTAAAATAATGCTGTGCATGTATTTCTACTACATTTAGGCATTATATTTATTTATACTAAGCTATAAAAGAAAATTATTTTTATAACAGCATTTCATTTGCAGAACTTCAAAACTGTTGTAATGCAGGCATGCTAGAGAAAAATGTATTTGTTTTTCTCTTGCACTATTGATATTGGCAAGGTACAAGAGCAAATAGCAAATTTGGAAACACCTCTTGCTTCCTTCTTACTGATCCCGGAACATATGGTAGTCATTATTCATCTGTAATTCCAAAGACTAATGATGCTTGTCTATTGATAGCTAAGTATTGCATGCAGATTGAAATGAATTTAAATTTGTTTATATCACAGAAATAACATAGAAGAAAATTAAACTATGTATTTGTTTCAAAGTATTTACTTTAAATATGTTATAAATATAGAATTTTCCTTAATTAGAAACAAATTAAATTATATGTTATTAAACTGCCCAATAAAATAATTTTTTAATAAAAAGAAATAAAGGGACAAACATTTGATACTGTTAATATAAATTTAGAAAAAAAGAAGTTTTTATAATAAGGCCAATTATTATTAGAAGAAAGTCTGTGTTTGTTCCTTCCCTAATAACTCAATCACTACTACAGCTATCATCACCAAATTTTCCACAGTTCTTTTCTGGATCCTAGTTTGGTCCTTTTCATCAATGTCCACTTCCCCCCCCCAAAAAAAAAGATAAAATCAGAGATATTTATTAAAAACACTTAAAACAGTAATTTTCAACTTCATTTTTCTGAGTGGCAATGGTGTTGATATCAGCAACAATGGCAACAGTGATATATCAGCAACAATGGTATGGCTGCATGCCATTGTTGCTGATAGAATGGCTGAGAATTAGTTTATTTTTCTATCCAAATTTTTATGTGGGTTCCATATTGCTCAAAATAATTCATTTTGCTCAAAATAATGATGTATTTGTTTTCATTTTTGCTGACCCAAATGGCAGTTCCATATATCATATGATTCTATGATTATGCAGTCAGTGTGATTCTATGATTATGTAGTACATGTATTGAATATTACTTTGTTTCTTCATCATTTTTTATGCTTTACAATAACACATCATATTCCTTATGATGTGTAATATGCTATTATATGAATTTTCAAATGATATCATGAGTAAAATAATACATTACTCTCAATCTAACTGGCATTGGGTACTTCCCTAGTACCTAATAAAATATAACACAAAATTTCATATTACAGACCTTTCCATTTATTGGAAAAACAAAATAGGTTTTGTTTACAATTGATTGACTGGAAGTCATACTTTAACTTAAAGCTTGTTGCTACTTAAAACATGAAATTGGCAGGTGATCATATACTGGCCACATCAGATTTTTTAAAATACCATTCTTTTCACACCTGCTTGATAGTTAAACTGAACTTACTTTCTGATAGTGTTATATAAATTCCTTTAGCGTAAATTCTGTAGAACAAATGAGATTTGCAAAAACTACCAAGGTATCATTCAGTGTTTTGATTTATTTTTAAATGAAAAATCAGATGAATTTACAAATAACTACTTCATTTGTATTATGAACTAATACGTGTTTTTGCCTAGAAGTCTTTCAATTCAAATATGACACTTAAAATGTGGTTTTTCAGAGCTGTAATAATGCTCCAAACTGATCTCCGTTCATTTCTTTGAAGTTAAGTTTAACTTTTCAACATGAATAAATTACATAAACTTGCTTAACATATCATCAGAATGTATTTGTTATCAGTTTTGTAGAAGCAATGAAAGTGGATGATTAGTCATGAAAATGAATAACCCAGAAAAAATAAGATTAATATTATATTTTCTATTACAATTTTGAAAAAGGTAATTGCATGACTATATCAATGATTATACAAAATATTCCACAATATGTCCTTTAAGAACAAATTTTAAGCCTGCATAAGATTTTATCTTAAATTAAACAAAAATAACAATGAATAAATAAATAATAAAAACTTGTATAAAATATATTAGTAATTTTTAAAAATCTAGTTACCTCAAACAAATGCATGAATTCCTTTCCTATTTCTTCACCAACAAGTGAACATAATTTTTGCATTGCTTCCTAAAATCATTAAAGTAAATAAAATCCATCAAACCATCAATGCATCTTAAAATAACACCTCAATTTAATTGCCTATTTGAGTTTGAAAAAAGTGGTTACCATTTCTTTCCTATGCTTTTCTTCTTTACTAATGCCACAGAATGGTGTCAAATCCCCAACTATGCATTCAGCCATGTCATGTACTAGAGCCATTTTAATGCACCTAAAAATATGAAATGTGAATAAATAAAATAAAAGTCATATTTTAAAGGCAATGCAACAGAAAAATAATTACTTCTTAACATGACAAATGATTTATGCAAAACAGCGAAAATAATAATGCAGTAAGAATGTCCATTATCAGTCACTGGTAATGTTTTGTGTTGCCACTCTGAAAAGTATATTGATGTTTCAAATTTAATTAGAAAACTCACTACTCTAAAACAGTTATGTTGCCACATGCAATATATCTGTCTTTCGAGTTTAATAAACAAATTTGCTGATTTAAAAGAAATGTATTGATGTATTGAGAATGCCCAAATCAAAATATTTTTATCTTCCCCATGGAAGTTTTTTTTTTTTTTTTTTTTTTCCCCCACAGCAATGTGCAAAATATTTTTTTTTCAAATTTATGCTGTTATTAATGACTTACAAGTAGCTTCATTTCAATTATTAGTTATTATTAAATGGACCCGTGAAATTATACTGACATAAAGAGTGTCCATTTGTTTGTGTGTGTGCGATTTGCATAATTTTAGTTTCATTCCAATCTTTATGAAACTTTACACACTTGACCTTCAAAATAAAAGTTTACAAAAGACCACTCGACGGAGTCCATACACAAGGCGTATATATTAGCCAAATCTGTACGCAGTCACAGTTTCCAAACTATACAAATAACTTTTTAGATTAGTATATGTTGTATCCATTCATACATGTGTTAAAAATCTATAGTACTTCTTACATAATTTTCACAATTTAGGAAAAAAAATTCTGCGAAAACTTTCAAAGTTTTATATGCATTACTAAAAAAGGGGGAAGGCTGAATCAAATTTTAAAACGTAAATTTGCAAGACAGTTAACCAAAGCTCTCATACATTGTTACTGAAGTGTATGTGTTAGAATCTATACCATATTAGGAAATATGTAATGACAAAATAGGATACAGATCATCCCTTGCAGAAGCACTTTATTTTACTCACCTGCAGTACATTTTCGCTTCGTTAATTCTTCATTACATAATTGCATCCATTTGAAAGACAATATATTTTTTTAGGGGGGCATTTAGTGGCTCATTAGCTTGAATTATACTTTTATTAACCAACTGCTGTTACGATAAATCCTTCCTTGTTTTACAATAGTTATTATGTCAAGGAACAAATTGTTTTCAGAGCTTTTTTAGACAAATCCTTATTTTTAATTGTATTTTGGTGATACTTGGTCTTCCTTTCATCAGATATACTGACATTATTAAAAGCTATTTTCCACTGACTGTGAACTTTATTTAAAATCTCTCTTAAAATTAAACACAATTTTTTTAATAATTATAAAAAAAAACAACATTCACTATTTACTTTGAGGGATGAAGGAATTTACCACAGGCTAACATTTTACAAAAATTGAAACTTTTATTATTATTATTTTATGAAAGGTATTCTTCACAAAATTATCACAGTATTACACTCATCTCCATAAATTAAGGATAATGCAAAACCAGGCAAAGGAAGAGTTAGAAGCAAAACAAATTTGACTTATTTGTAAAGCTTATTTATTAAACAAAAGGTAAAGGGCAAAAAAAAGATGCTATATGTTTGATATTCTTAAAAAAATTAGCGATTTTTTCTCCCTGGAGGAAATTAAAAAAAAAAAAAAAAAAAAAAAAAAAAAACCCTATTTACAAAAAACCAATATTACATGATTGGTATGATTGTTAATACATTGTATGTCTCCCAGACGATGCAATACAGTCCGTACAATGCCTAGGCGTCCTGAGTATCAATTATCGATCTGATCTTGGGGGATATTACACCACTCAAAAGCAATGCACTCCGAAGTTCCGGTAGACATGTAGGAGGAGGTTGACGGGGGCTGCAACTCGTCGGCCAAGCATGTCCCACACGTGCTCTACTGGATTCAAGTCCGGTGAGAATGCTGGCCACTCCATACAGGTGATATCCTCCGATTGAAGGCATTCGCTTACGATGTTTGCACGGTGAGGACGGGTGTTGTCATCCATAAATACAAATTGTGCGCCCATGGCGCCCCGAAACAAATGTACATGTTGTTCCAGAATGACGTCCCAATAGATCTGGCTTGTCATGGTTCCAATTTGAACATGCTGGTCAGTTCTGGAACCCGGAATAATTCCACCTCAAACGAGAACTCCTGTACCACCGTAATGGTGTCGTTCAATGATGTTTTCTTGGTGGTAACAGGTACCTGGAGCTCTCCATATGAAAGTCCGGCGAGAATCAAACTGCAAGCTAAACCTGGCCTCGTCAGAAAACATCACACAAGCCCACTGTTGCAGTGTCCACAATGCATGCTCTCTACTCCAGGCTAACCGCAGGCGACAGTGAGTTGCAGTAAGTGGAACGCATCTGACAGGTCTACGAGCATACTGACCAATCTGCCCTAAGCGTCTGTACACAGTCTTCCTTGAAATTGTCGTACCTGTGGCTGACGAGACAGGTCTGAGGCTGTGCTCCGCCTGTTTCTTTTGGCAGTAACTGCCAAATACCGGTCCTCATTCGGCGTTGTAACTCTGGGGCGACCTGTGCTGTAACGTCTACTCACATTACCATCATCTTGGAATCGTTGCCAAAGCCTGGAGATGACACTCTGGGCAATTCCAAGTTCGTCTGATACTTCCAGTTGGGTACGCCCACAATCCAGACGGCCGATAATTCTACCACATAAAAAATCGTCCAAATGCGTCCTTTGTGTCATAACTATTCGGTTATTGCACTGAAATGCTTATAAAGCACCTGCGAACAATTTTACTTCTTTGCCTGTATTCCTTATATATCACTCTCTTACACTCTCGTCATTGTGACGTACTATCGGTGACATCTGGTTACTTCCTGAAATTTGCATATGATTCTTGAAGATGTGTGTAGTGATTTTACAGGTGATATATTTATTTTAGAGTTTGATTTCCGCGTGACTCCGAATTATCCTTAATTTATGGACATGAGTGTATTTTAAGGATACTTCTTGCACAACATTTTTCTAATCATATAGACATAGGTAGATAATCATCAGTCGAATATAAATATATTTAAAGAAGCTTCATTCTTATTATTATTGATTCTATAAAGTTTTTTTGTATTACTTTAATTACCAGTGTTTATAATGCCAAGTTTTTCACTTTAATTTCATTACACACATCAATCAAACTTTACTTTCATTTTCAAATATTTGGTAGAAGGATACGTAATATTGCCTACCAGCTTAGTACTGATATTGACTAAACAATGTTGGAAGAACAAAATTTCAAGGAAAAATACAAAGAGTTCGAGTCCTAGAAAATTTCAGTATGAATCAATTCCAAGTATTGCATGATTTTTTAAATTATCTCTTAAAGATTTCTTTAGTTGTTTTCCTGTAACATTATTCATTAGTTTCCAAGCTTCCAGCCAGTTTAAGAAGTTATGTAGGAAAATTTATCTCTTATTAGTATCACTGTTTGTCACAGGTGTTTTAAATTCGTTGTTCAGGTGTTGATATTTGTATAGATTTAACATTCATAAAACTGAACTGTGATCATACATGGGTATCTTTTGTATATTTCAACTTTTCATTATTACAGGTCTCTAGCAGTACTAGAACAGTGAAAGTAATTGAAGAACTAGCTTCACATTTTGTTTTTCAAACATTGTTCATGTTAAACTCTTTAGGGAAAATTATGACATAACTTAAGAAATCTGTGCATTTCAACAAAATGAAGGTTTTTAAAAATATAAAATGAAGCAAATGGAAATCTGTTTGATTTATCATTATGCAAAAATTTGTGGCAGCACATATATTTTTCACAATTTTTTGAGCAATTCAATTATTCCGAACACAATGAAATAAGATGGAATCAATCTATCAGACGAAAAATAATGGCCAATACTTATCAATAGGATGAGGATAAACTATCTGCCTTTGTTTCGAATCAGAAAATAAAGATATTGTTTTGGCTATTATCTGTACTGATCTCAGTTACAAGGCCTGTTTTGAGTTACACGATGACTTGATTTATAAATGAATGCAAAGTACTTGAAATGAATCATGAAACAATTATCGCAAAACTAAACAGCATGTGAATAGCATGATGATAATGTACATGAAATCATAAGTACATGTAAACTTTAAGCAGCACCTGAATTATTATATAACATTACCATTAAATTACCTTTCTTGTAATTAAAATAAAATGAAATATGTATTTCATCTACTAATAAAACTATCTCTCTACAATTTTCCTTTACCAAAGTGAATTTTTGTTTCATGCATAATAATAAATTATTCATTTTTTCTTATTTAGAATCAACAAGTTGCTAATATTTTTAACTGTATTTGAATGTAGAAATAAAATATAACCACTCTGTCTCAAAACTTTGTGCAGCTAATGTGATATATAAAAGTATGTACAGGCAAAAATCAGTGTATCTGGATAACTTCATTCTGAAGGCTGAGCGAGAAGGATGATTTGTCCAATTACAAATGTAACAACTTTCTTTTTCATTATTAGCACAGTTATTATACTGAGTGTAGTAAGAAGTTTCAGCCCTATAAATCTGCCTACATTACTGTTAGCACATTTAATTTAATAATACTTTTCAAAGCAGCATTATTAGAAAAAAGTATTTACCCATATTTCATCATTTACCACTTTTTTTTTTTTTTTTTTTTTTTTTTTTGAAAAGGGATGAATCTTTCTAGCTGTTCATGTGCAATTTTTTTTGGAGGAAGGAGGCATGTGAAAATGCTATTTTAATATTTACTAGATGTATTTTTAAAAGTACTACTCTCTTTTCAAAAATTAATTTTTTCTATGTTCTTTATTCTCCTGTTGGCAAGTTTAAAATTTCTTCAAAATTTTCTGGAAGAGCTTTCTTATATTCTTTTGAGATAATGCTGATACATAATTTTCTATTTTGTAGGAAAATCTATTTAGTAGAACACCTTTATTTATTCTACAAAAAATTCTTTTTTTTTTTTTTTTTCTAAAATTTT